GTGCTGAATCTCCTGAGGTCGAGTAGACAAGATAAGACAAAGGAATAATGAAAAGGATGTCAAAATAACGTGAGAAACTGCAACTAGAGTAAATGACTTTTATCTTCTTTTATCATCATATATGCCTCTCAATTTAAACAGAAAAAAAAACTCTCGCTGAAATGCTCCTGTACCTGAGTCAGAGAGATACTGTGTTCACTGCCACTGCGACACATTGTTCCCTCTTTTGGAGCAAAGAAGTGTAAACTAAGCCTCATTAATTAGCCTCATTAGGTGAACAGAAACCTGTTTGATTGGAGGCAGTTGGAGCCCTTCCGCTCTGATGCTGCAGCGGTATTTAACTCACCATATTGGCTGTCTGATGGCTGCACCTCTGGGTCATGTTCTTTGACATGGCTGTTGTCCCAGTGCCACCCCCTTGCGCACACACACACACGCACACAGATCCTTTAAGGGGCTTGGCAGACCCCTGGTTCCCCCTCTCTAATCACTGTGTTCTCCAGGGGGGCGCAGCCATTCTCACTGCTCTTTGGAAAAGCTTGGCATTTGTCTGAGATCTCATTTCAGTAATTCATCGCACGTCTCCCGGGAGCTGCAGTTGGCACTGGTGATGCCATGCACTCCCTCCTCCTTCCTCCTTCTCTCTCTCACAGCCTCTATTACTGTTCCTCCTCTCCTACTGCGTCTTTCTCCGTCTTCCTCTTTTTCACCCCTGTCATTATTTGTGGTTGCCCTGAAAGAGGCCCTGACTAAAGCTAAACTGGTGGGTGTACACACATTAACTCTCCTGTGATTGTGTTTGATGGCCGCTCCAGGCTCCGATCACATAAACATGTTGAGTGTGTTTGCGCATCCTTGTTTCTTGAGTGTCTTAGAGTGTAAAGTGTCAACAAAGGCTGCTAAATTAAAATGGATGATCTGCAGTCATATTATTGTTTCTTCACACTTTCCTCATATATAAAAACATAAAGTGCCAAAGCATTAATGCGTCTAAATAAATATATAGTTACACTTCAATCAGGGCAAATGTAATGAATGTGAAAAATGTAACTGAGATTAATTAGGCATCAGTAAAAATGTAACATCTGTTACTTACTTGGAATAGCAGGGGAGGAAAAGATAGATAGCTACACACTGAATACAAAATGTTTTAAAAAGCAATGCAAGGTGCATAAAGTATTCATTTGCTTTGTGGAAAAATAACATTTTAAATACACCATGTGATGCTGAGCTGAGCTTTCTGTGAGTCTGTAACTCTTGTTTTGGAGTTGGAGTTGAGCAGTACAGGTGAACTGCTGCATCTCACATTTTGTTTATGAGTAAACTGCTGCTGGTGGCAGGCATTTTAAGCTAATAGCTGCTTTAAATAGCTGCAATTAGTGAGAAGCATGAGATATTTAATCACTCTAGACCAATTAGTCTGTAATCAAGTAGTGTCCAAGAGCGAGCACGTCTTTGTCCTCCACTGTTCCTCTGCAAGTACCCGCCATATATTTCTCTGTGCGCCAGGAAGAGCAGTGATTAACACGCAGGGATATAGGCCCCCGTGGAATGCTGTAATGTGGAGTTAAATCAGGGGGAGAGGGAGGCGAGACAACACAGCTAAACCTGTTATTGCAGTTTAACATATGCAGAAGGTTAATTTAAGGCAGCGATGATGGCGAGAAGCCTTGTTTATGTGTTTGTGTCACAGTGCGTTGTACAAATTTGTGGCAACAGAAATGGGTGTGTTTCTACTATACGGGACCGCACTATGAAAGAAAATCATTAGATTCTTTTTCTATTGATATAATCAGTAGATTCATCTGGAAGAGGAGAACAAAGAAGTGTGAGCATGCAAGACTGAGCCTCAAACTACAAAATGCTCCCTGTAAGATTTGGATTTTATATTGTAATGTTCTTAGTCTTAGGGAAAACAGACTGGTGCAAGCACACACAAATGCAAGCCATGCATGAACACACATTTGCACCTGCACAAACACGTGCAGCCTGCCCAAACCCTTGTTTTGATAATAATGGCACTGTGTTCATAATGACATTTTCTGGCCACAAGGCCGGTGCGTCCACGCCCTCAGCCTCAGCCTAAGGGTGGAAAACAGGTTCATCAGTGTGGTTTGGGCCTCCTTATCAAACAGGATGTGATGCTTTCCCAAAGTCTAGACAAGGGAGTACAGGCATGAGCTGACGGAGGCCACAGGTAGGAATTCAATCTGAGCATTTGTCACAATGAAAGAGCCAATGAAGTCACTTCCCAAGTCTCCCGTGCCTTCCACATGTTCCTCCATCCTGCTGCTGCACTCGTATCTCACTCCCAACAGGAATTATTTGGAAAATCCTGCAGTGCTAATGCTGAGGAGATGGAGGATGGGGCACCACTGTGGAGGCTAATAGCGAGACAGTGGGAACTGTGTGAGTCAACATATGGTTGCAGCAAAGTATAACAGGGGCACAGATGAATAATGTATCCGGGGATGGCAGCAGTTTGGGCGCTGAGTAATAGAGAATTAGACCTAGAGATGATGGTGCTTGATAGAAGTCTCCTGTTTATGCTATATTACTGAAACACTGCAGCTGTGATGGAAACGGTCTTTCATGAAAATCATGTAATAAGATAAATGAGTGTGTAAATGTGCTATATTATGTAAATATAAGCATCGCTGCTGACTGGCTGTTGAGCTGATGTGAGATGTTACTGTCAGGAAGTGTCACATTTATTACATTTTATACAGTTACATGTAAGTGAATATGTTTTCTGTTGATATGAAAGTAGAGGTGGACAGCAGCTACCACTGTAATGATTTTAACAGGAAATCTGAGAAAAGGCCTGCGTGAGGACTTATTGTCTGATGGTAGCAGTGTCAAAACAGCCTTATTTAAGGCACACTGTTTGAATTGCCAACAAAACGCATGTCATGGCAAGAAAACATTTATTTGTTGATCTTTGTTGATGAGGCATCACTTTGTCACTTCTTCAGATCTTTCTTACCTTCATATTTGCTATCTTACATTGTACCTGATATTGGTACTTTAGATGAATAAACGGCATTATGGAAAAATGTAGCTGCATTGTTATGCAAATAAAAAAAGAGAGTCAGCAGGGTAAACAGAGCTGCATGGTCAGCTGGTCTTATCATCACTATACCCCTGAATGTATCTCTATAAAGTAGCATTTACTGTATAAAAAAAAAAAAAATCCAATGCACCTGTGTCACCAAGGCTGCTGAAGCTTGGTCTAAACTCTCAGGGCTGTGTTGTGTTTGCCCTCCAACCCAGAATATCTTTAATCATATCAGGGAAGTCTAACTGTCAAGCTGGCCACCTGTGCTTAAACTCATTTTTAAAAACAGCAACAAAAAACTTTTATCTATCATACACACACACAAATATAACATCATAAGGATGATGCCTGTCAAGGGCAGCGAGGCCGGGCTGTCTTACTGAGGACTATAAGCACACAGGTGGCCTGCATGGCCTGCTTTTCCTCAGATGGCCACAGTGGAGCAGGGTGTCTGAAAGGTGTCTGTAGCACCAACAGCGCGCCTCTATCACTGGGCGTGTCTGTGTCAAATGGCCACTTTAACCCACATTCAGCAGGTTGATGTGGGGACAACTAAACAAGGGTCATTGCCACTGCAAGAAAAACCTGCAGCTCCATGGGAAAGAACAAAGACAGGAAGGATACTCACGTGCAACTAATAACTGTGAGACAGATGCAGGTGTTGCTTAAGGACAGTGTTCTCTGACAGCTGCTATGAACGCTACACCTATACAATAGACTTTGCAAATAAAAAAAACCTCACAAATGAATAAATCTTTCATTGGAGTTTATTTTTACAAAAGACACTTGTAAAACATTAATATAATCCCAACCATTCCCTGCTGTTTTCCTTCAGAACACGAAGATTGCTATTTCTAAATAAATGCTCCTGTAATCTCCATCAGGCCTTGTGCAAGTTTCTTTCAATTCCAAGTGTAAATGCTACATGCTTTGTAAATATTCCATATTTTCTGTTTAGGATTTATGTTGTGAGCTACTATTTATTTTTACATAATACTTCCTTACCAGACAATCTTGTGATGTCTTTGTAAAGGAGGATGAGGAGCTACTCTAGGTGAAGGTTTCAGCTGAATGCCCATAGTAAAACTGTATATTTCTGGTTAACCTGAATGCTTTGAATTATTGACTTGTGCCTTCCTTCTGCTATATTTGGTTTTTCCACAGAACTGTCTTTCTACATGTGGCGTATGTTACTTACACAGTATCTGTTACAGAGGCGTATTTAAGACCTACTGGACTGTGAAACGGAAAAAAGCTACTGTTCTTTCTGCTGTAGGAAAATATCCTCAAAATCATTTTGTCTTTTTTAAACAAACATTTTAATGTAAAATATAAATCATTTGCAGTTTGATGACAATATTATTTTTTAGTCATTACAACGAATGGCACCTGGTTTATAGGCCAACATGAATTCGACTGCTTGCATGTCACTGTTGTACTAAACTGTGACCACGTGTGGTGGAATTAATAAAGGCCTACAAGATAAAATGTGTTCTCCTTAAATCTTGTAAAACAGGTTTGATTACATACAAGAGATGACATCTGCAATATTTTAATATTTTTTCTCCATGCTTTCTCTTCCATTAAACGAACTAAATGCATTATTCAGCATTACCCTGCACCTCCCTCTTTCCCCCCTCACTATTTCATGTGACAGCTCTGGCATTCAAAGCAATAAACCAAGATGCCCCTTGAGACAAAACTTGAGACGACACAATTCTTCCAGGAAACTTTAATTGTTCTGACAACTCCTCACAAGCCAGTGAAGGTCAAGTCCAACAGTGCAGCTGACAGTAATGTACAAGTGCCCTCTCCCACTGGCAGGAGGGTGGTGAGGTAAATTCGGTGTTCAATGTCATGAAAAATAAAGACTTAAAGACTTGTCCCCCCTTTACATTAACAATGGCTGCTGAGTCTCCTGTGGGGAAATTCAGTTCATATCTGCTTAGAGACAGTGGCTGTCTGAATACAATTAGCTGTTGTCCTAAAAGAATCGGTTAATGTTCACATATTTGATCAATTCATAACCAAAGCTAAATGACTTCACGGTGTCAATCATTAACTTGTCAAGGAGAAACCTTCACTACTCACATAAAACAGAGACATTGTGTTGAAGTGATTTTTTTAGGTAATACGTTGTAAAAATTGTCAGATGTGCTCCAACTATCAGTGTGAAATTTTAACAAGAGAGTGCAGCGTAACAGAATCAAATCGGGCCTTTTTGTAAAGATCGAACAGCAGATCGACCCTTCGCTTCCAGCAGGTCGAAGCTGTCATAGTTAATGAGTACAAAACAATTCAAGAGTAAGCTGAACAGGGCAAATGATAAAATACTCCACCACATATCGACACAGGGAGGGCTGCTTCAGTGCACATTCAATATCTCTGCAATGAGCCTGACATGCTACATATTAAACTAGTCCAAAAACACTGCAAAGAGTTAACTGATATCATCATGTGAGGACATTATTGGCAGAGCATAACCACATTCATTCACTAAAGACTTAAAAGTGGTAACACAATATTTACATAATGACAAAAGGAGGTTTCAATAAAAATATCTTATGATTACAATAGTCTATTTTATGCATATAAGTCTTCCTTTCACATACTTTTATAGAACATTTGTGTCTCTTTATGTACAATCTTAATTGTCTCGAATCAGAGTTGCTCTTCTTTACAATATCAAACATTTTAAGATTCCAGGGATGACATCCCTGTTCAACACAAATCATCTATTTTAAACAATAGATGTTCAAAACAGGGTACAATGATTTTTGCAGTTTAGTAAAGCTTTAAACTGGAGTCATTTTTAGTTATTGTTTAAGCACAATTCACAAACAGTTTTCATAGCTGTTGACAGATGAGTTTCCAAAAAAAACTTCTCAGCGTGGGGATTCCATATTTTCACTCTTTTAGAAGAACTTTAAGTGGCAAAAAACAAAGTTAAAGAAACTTAAACAGGAGGAAGGGCAGTGAGATATCTACACACCTAATTCCTTGACCAATAGAACAAAAATAAAGAGCTGATATTAACATGAATTTTATTTGGGTTTAATTCCTTCCAGCGATTTTGAAATCCCCTTGTAACTGTGCCTCCAGTAGGGTGTGAGTCCCTGGCGAAGGTTTGCTGGCTTTGGAGCAGCTCTGTGCCTCGTGCACACCTGTGGAGGGGATGAATAGAGGTGGGGGTGGGTGAGCTGCAAAGCTCCAGACTGACTGGCGCCACTGACAAAACAGAGGCCATGCTTGATCAACAATCCAAAACAAACCAGGTCAAACAACAACCACCCAGCTCCTTAAGCTGTTAGGAAAGGCTGACCAGAGACTCTCAGAGAGTGTCTCGTTGTCACACACACCAGGTACATACTTTTAGTCTTACCCAGGTGTGTTTAGATTCACTGGTATCAACCAGACATTAAAGTCAGAGCAGCCACTTGAGTGGAACTGGGAGACAGAGAAAGTGAATGTGAGGGAGGAAGGTGTGTGTGTGTGTGTGTGTGTGTGTGTGTGTGTGTGTGTGTGTGTGTGTGTGTGTGTGTGTGTGTGTGTGTGTGTGTGTGTGTGTGTGTGACAATGAAAGAGAGGGCAAGCTGAGGTTTTAACCCTCTTTTCTTGCCAGATTGCTACACCAGTGACAGTTATTGCGCAAAGCACAGCTGCCTCTGAGGTTAGTGCCAATTTCATGTTCCTCAATTATTCTTTTTCCTGACATCTCCTGGCCCCCCCAACCTAGATATTGTCCATTTACACTACATATAGGCTACAGTAAGCAACTTAATGGGGATGCTTCAAAGACCATCACTTATGGTGTTTTGTACTGGCCACATGTGTCTGCAGTCATCTTAAAAAGCAATAACTAAACCTCTGATTGTAAAGAAAACAAACAAAATACATTTAAAATAAAGTCTATTATTCTGAGTCAACTTACCAATGTAGTGCTCATGTCTCAGCGGCATAAAATCGAGTCCTCCTGCTTTTTTATTATTGACGTCCTCTACAAAACAGAAGAAACAGAAACATGAAACGATTTGGCTCCCTTGGATAAGAAAACTAAATAAAGGCATGCCTCCCTTCATACATTCTCTTACAGCCCAGAGAATAACAAATTGCCCTTATTGTGCGCAATGGAGTGGGCTGAAGGCTGAGGTACTTCACCAATCCTGGGATAAGGTGGGCCTCTGACACACACTGTCATTATCATGCAAATCATAAAACCCGCAATCATGTGCTCAGTCTAACCCACGCCAAATGAATTTTACGCGTGATTTTTCAAGACTGATGTGTATAGAATACTGATTCTTTTCTTATTTTTCTGCTCACATTGAAAGGACAATGACACATAACGGGCATGACGCGCTTTGTCTGAGTCTGAGTGGCGGACAGCGGTCTGGTACAGGGAGGTAACCCGGGGTCCACGTTAAAGTGCCAGTGGACACGATGAACGCTGAGTCGTCTCCGCTGAGTGAAGCTTACCTGGTGGTGGTCAATGTTGAGCACCGTGAGCGGTGTCCGGCTGGGGTTGGAGGCTGGAGCAGGGCAGGTCCCGGTCCGCTGTGGCTGTTGTTTATGGAGAGAAGGGTGCGTCTCCAGCGCCAGCTGCAGGTCCAGGATGTAGTCTATTACATGCTGGAGGATCTCCACTTTGCTGACTTTCTTATCCTGCGGAATGGTGGGCACCAGGCGCTTCAATCGGCTGTAGCAGTCGTTCATGTCGTACTGCAGGCAGAACAGATCCTCCTCTTCCATCCTGCACCGGGCGATGTTGAGACTCTGCTTCGACAGACAGTGAAGGGAGAGCTGGCTGCTGGTGGAGGAGGAGTCCTGGGGGCGGACTGGCGTAACAGCCTTCATCTTAGGTAACCAAGAAAAATCTAACAATTACACTACTGGTAGCAGGAGGTATTCGAGGTTATACCACGGCGCTGTGAGCAAGGTAAAGCTACTCTAATAAAGATTCAGAACAGCGAGAGAACCCGATCAACCAAAAGGCGGTATTCTGGTC